TGAAATTCAGATCTGGTCCTTCTGATATCATCTCTAAGTAATAAATGAAGTCTATCTTTTAAGTAACTTATAACAATCAAAACATATGAAGAACAGTTGTGGGAACTGTGTATGTCTATGGTAGTTTAATTACAAAGAAGAACTAGGGTGACATGATAGCAGCCTTCCAATATCTCAGGGGTTGCCACAAAGAAGAGGAATCAAACTATTCTCCAAGGCACCTGAAGGCAGGACAAGAAGCAATGGGTGGAAACTAATCAAGGAGAGAAGCAACTTAGAACTGAGGAGAAATTTCCTGACAGTTAGAACAATTAACCAGTGGAAGAACTTGCCTCCAGAAGTTGTGAATGCTCCAACACTGAAAGTTTTTAAGAAGATGTTGGATATCCATTTGTCTGGAGTGGTGTAGGGTTTCCTGCCTGGGCAGGGGGTTGGACTAGAAGACCTCCAAGGCCCCATCCAACTCTGCTATTATATTGTATTGTCTGTCTGAGGCCAACTGCTCAGGTTCATGCACAAATGGTGAATGGCGTTCTTTTTAGGGCAATGATGCCTAACCTTTTTGTTGTCGTGCGCCGAAAGTGCGTGTGTGTTTATGCGTGCCACAGTGCGCCCATGCACCTGCACCCATAATGCAATGCAGGCACGATCACCACCCCTGCACGCCCCCCCCCCACTCATGCGCCCCCACCCCCTGTGTGTGCCCCTCATCTCATTTTGGGCTGGAAGGCTTCTGGCACCAACTTGGAAGCCAAAACGGGGCGTGGAGGTGCCACACGAGGCCCCAAAACGCAATGTGAGAGCTTGCAAATGTGCCCCACTCCCACCGTGTATTTGAGTGCGCATCCCCCGCATGCCCCCATCCCTTTGCGTATGCCCAGCAGAAACCCGAAGGCCAGCTGGCTGGCGGGAGGCACACGGGCATGCATGGGGGGGGGAACCTAGGCTGGGGCAACAGCTGGCATGTCCACAGAGAGGGCTCTGCCTGCCTGCCATGGAAAGCATGACATAGCTTCGCCATCCCAATTTTAGGGAATGGCCTGCCCCAAATCTTATAGTGACCAGAAGATCCGTGGAGAAATGCACTGGGGAGAAAGCATACTGGGAACACCGAAAGTTTTAGGCAAACATGGGTTTAACTGCAAACTTAGATTTTTTTTAAAAAAAATGATGAAAAAAAGGAGATAATCTTTATATGTTTATTAACCTACAGGTAATGAAATACATGGGAGAGTGATATAATCAGAAATGAATGGCTCTGCCTGTCGGTTTCTTTAAAAGGATCAAAATCCATACTCTTAGGCATCTCAAGGTAACCTCTTGAGCCAAGGAGATTGGATGTGCTCTTCTGTTCCTCCCCCACCCAGGAAACTACCTTTCTTTTTTCCAATGAAGGTGATGTGAAAGGAGGAGGAGGAAGTGCGGGAGAAAGAAGAGAAGGAAGAGAAGAGGAGGAGAAGGAGGAAAAAGTGGAGGAGGAGGAAGAGGAGGAGAAGAAAAAGAAGAGATGAAGAAGAGGAGGAGGAAGAGACGAAGAAGAGGAGGAGGAGGAAGAGGAGGAAGAAGAGGAGGACAAGGAGAAGGAGAAGGAGAGGAGGAGGAGGAGGGGGAACTGGAGGAGGAAGAAGAGGAGGAAGAAAAGAAGAGGAGGAAAAAGTGGAGGAGGAGGAAGAAAAAGAAGAGAAGAAAAAGAAGAGATGATGAAGAAGAGGAGGAGGAAGAGACGAAGAAGAGGAGGAGGAGGAAGAGGAGGAAGAAGAGGAGGACAAGGAGAAGGAGAAGGAGAGGAGGAGGAGGAGGGGGAACTGGAGGAGGAAGAAGAGGAGGAAGAAAAGAAGAGGAGGAAAAAGTGGAGGAGGAGGAAGAAAAAGAAGAGAAGAAAAAGAAGAGATGATGAAGAAGAGGAGGAGGAAGAGACGAAGAAGAGGAGGAGGAGGAAGAGGAGGAAGAAGAGGAGGACAAGGAGAAGGAGAAGGAGAGGAGGAGGAGGAGGGGGAACTGGAGGAGGAAGAAGAGGAGGAAGAAAAGAAGAGGAGGAAAAAGTGGAGGAGGAGGAAGAAAAAGAAGAGAAGAAAAAGAAGAGATGATGAAGAAGAGGAGGAGGAAGAAGAAGAGACAAAGAAGAGGAGGAGGAGGAGGAGGAAAAGAAGAAGAGGAGAAACTGGAGGAGAGGAGGAGGAAGAGGAACTGGAGGAGGAAGAAGAGGAGGAGGAGAAAAGGACGAGAAGAAGAGGAGGAGGAGGAACTGGAGGAGGAAGAAGAGGAAGAGGAGGAGAAGAGATGAAGAAAAAGAAGAGGAGGAGGAGTAAGAAGAGGAGGAGGAGAGAAAAGTAGTAGTAGTGGTGGTGGAGGACGAGGAGGACGAGGAGGAGAAGGAAGAGGAGGAGAGGAGGAGAAAAGGAGAACAAGAACAAGGAGATTTCCTTGTAACAAAGGAGGAGCAGGAGAAGTAATTTCTAAAGATGGGTTGGACCACGGTTCCAAAAAAGGAGGACAAACAGCGAGACACTTACATTGGGTCTGAAATCACTGGATGAAGGACGACTTGAGGTGGTCTGGGGGGCACCTCAGGCACAACGTCTGAAAAGCAAAAGAAACCCCTGTTCAGAAAACCGCGAGTCACGGGACCCTCCCAGAAGGACCCTCCAGAAGGCCTTCAAACCCTCGGGAGAAATTCCGGGCGCTCTGTGTCTCCCAAGCCCATCGCAGCCTTCTAGTTTAGACTGCTGAACTGGGAGAAGCGTTTTTTTAAAATTAAATGGGCTCCAGTCCATCCCGCCGAGAATCACTGCCTCCGACTGGAGCTACGTTGGCAGATGGGTAGAAAGGGGAAGCAGAATCCAATGGGAAACCAAAAAAGGCATCTCCAGGGAAGGCAACCTGGATGTGGAACAGTGGAGATATTGGGAATTTTCAGAACAATTTTCTGTGTTTTCATGCAACGGCTCTAGAGAGACCAGCCTGGTTGCCGAATGCGATCAGAGATAATTTCCCCACCGGCTATTTTCCAGTCTCTTCTGAAGTCACCCAACCATTGTTCTGTCCAAATGATAATAATAACCAGGATGGGTTTTTTTTATCGCTTCGGCAATGGTTGGCTGTATTGGGAAGACAGTAGATAAAAACACACAAACGGGGGGAAATTAAATCCCCATTGGTCAATTGCAAAAGGCAGCTTGATTCGGAATGGCTTACATCCTGCGATGAGACCTTGCATGTTATTATGAAAATATACGTCTGCCTATCTCAGAAGGCTCAATGTCAATAAAAATGCCAAATCCAGTCTAAACGTCTGGCCGACTGTGCAACCAACCATAATTGTAATAATAACCAGAACACAACCTGGTCTAGATACTCCCCCTCACCACTTTCCTGCATTCCAACCCTTCCTTCCTTCCTTCCTTCCTTCCTTCCTTCCTTCCTTCCTTCCTTCCTTCCTTCCTTTTTCAGATTAACAGAGTTGGAAGGGAGCTTATAGGTCATCTAGCCCAACCCGCCCACTCAAGCAGGAGACCCTACACCATTTCTGACAAATGGCAGTCCAGACTCTTCTTGAAAGTTTCAAGTGATGAAGCCCCCACAACTTCCCAAGGCAACTCCTGTTCCCTTCGTTGATTGCTCTCACTGTCAGAAAGCTCCTCCTTATTTCTAGGTTGAATCTCTCCTCGGTCAGTTTCCATCCATTATTCCTTGTCTGGCTTTCGGGTGCTTTGGAGAATAGCTTGGCCCCCTCCTCTCTGTGGCAGCCCCTCAAATATTGGAAGACTGTTCTTGTGTCTCCCCTGGTCCTTCTCTTCCCTAAACTAGCCATGCCCAATTCCTGCAACCGTTCATTGTATGTTTTAGCCTCCAGTCTCCTAATCATCTTGGTTGCTCTTCTCTGCCCTCTTTCTAGAGTCCCAAAATCTTTTTTTATAATGTGGGGACCAAAACTGGATGCAGTACTCTAGTTGTAGTCTTACAAAGGCTCCCTCTGTTAATGCAATTTAGGATTGAATTGGCTTTTTTGGCTGCCGCTGCACACTGCTAGCTCATATTTAGCTGGCTGTCCACTACGACTCCAAGATCCCTCTCACAGTCACTGATATTAAGCCTGGTTTCACCCAGGTCTTTAAGAAGATGTTGGATAGCCATTTGTCAGAAACGGTATAGGGTTTCCTGCCTAGGCAGGGGGTTGGACTAGAAGACCTCCAAGGTCCCTTCCAACTCTGCTATTGTATTGTACTGTATATGCGTACTTTTGGTTTTTCTTACCTAAATGTAGGACTTTACTTTTCTCCACATTGAATTTCAATTTGTTAGATAAGACCCAGGGTTCAAGTCCGTCAAGATCAGTGGTGGGTTTCAAAATTTTTTGGAACCTCTTCTGTAGGTGTGGCCTGCTTTCCGGGTCCACTGGTGGAACCTCTTCTAACCGGTTCGGTAGATTTGATGAACCGGTTCTACCGAGTAGGTGCGAACTGGTAGGAACCCACCTCTGGTCAAGATCCTTCTGGATCTTGAGCCTCCTTTCTTTTTCTTTTTCATTTTTTTTGGCGGGGGGGAGTCAGTGAGACACAGTTTGCCAAGATGATTGGCAGAAACCTAAACCCAAGAACATGCTCAGAGAGTTTACAAACAAGGTTTATCGAGACAAAAAAAGGAAGGGATTTACAAGAATTATAGCAACGGCTCTGTTTTCCGTGAATAACCAACCTATCCTCTGGGTCCATGCAGGTAAATCCTATCTGGTTTTCTAGCAGATCTTCTGGTTAGAACCCATCTTATCATTGTCAGCGGCTACTCACCTGGAAAAATGAATTGCTGCTTGTACTTGTAATAGTGAGAAGCTGGAAGAGTGAAAACACAAATTAGGAGGAATAAGAGATTATCAGGGCTTCCATTGTAAGTAGAACATAGAACACAGAGTTGTAAAGCTGGGAGGGGGGATCTCAAAGGTCTGTTAGTCCAGCCCTCTGCTCAAGGCAGGAGACCTTATACCATAAAGTGTATCTGTGGTGTAAGGGTATGTATGGTATAAGGCAGTGGTGGCATTCAATTTTTTTTTTTTGAAGGATTCTGTAAAATCTCCCTTCCCTCCCCACTCCTGGGGGAAGGATACTGCAAAAACTCCAATGGGACAAATGCTTAATAGTTTTTATAGATTGTTTTATATAATTGTTTTTAAACTGGCAGAGTTTAGCTCCAGCAAATTGCTCGGTGGACATCTGGAATGACCCTCCAACTGGAGGAGGAGCCAACGTCGCGACGATACGGCCATGCGGTCTCGATGCTCCGAGACCACTGCCGATACTTTTGCCACTGGGTGGTCCAATCGGACCTAAACCGTTCTGTAGAGACGGTAAACAGGAAGAATACGTCTTGCTGATCTCAGGGACACCACAAAGTCTCTGATCAATCCAAGAGAAGTTCTTCAAGCCAGCGACAAAAAGTCCAGCCCCAGGCTGATAAAGTTGGGATGGCTCCAGAACGGAAGGGAAGCGAAAAGAGAAAGTGGGGAGGAAACTTTACTGTTTTGAAAAGACTGCCCCCCCAAAAAAATTTTTTAAGTTAAATTAAATCCGAAAGCAGAAGAAAATAAGTGGCGAAATTAACCTATATTGGATTGCTTTGGATAGTGTGTTTCTTTTTCTTTGTAATTTTACTTTGTGGATTGAAGTGCTCTCAACTTTTTTTTTAAGAGAACGGATCAGTTTTTCTTCTTCTATATTTTGATTTTTTAACCTATGGATTGAAGTCTTCTTCTTTATTTCAACAAGGACTTTTATTACTTGTTATTAATTCTTGCAAATATTTCTGCATATATATATATACAGACATATTTGCAGGCAGATGTCCAGTTAATATGTGCTAAATATAATTAGATATTAAATATATTAAATATATATTTAAAAAGCTCACTGTAAGCAAAACCCAAAGATTTTGAGAACAGCAAAATTCCATCTGTTTGGTTCAGCCATTTTTGGAGTTCTTGTTCCTTGAGCATTTTAACAGGATTGCCTTAATTCCCACAATTCCCAAGTCTGGTTGGGAAGCAGAGAATTTTTCTTTAAAAAAAAGTTTATCCAGTGCAAATGTTAAGAGATGCCTGGAATCATCAGGGGATTTGCCAGCTCACTCAGAGGCATCAGAAGGACCCTGATTGGTTAAAAAAAAAAACCTAGATCCTAGGTGTCGGGTATGAAAGACCAATTAAACTGATTTCTTGCTACTCCTGCCTATATATAAGAATCTTCTCAACTAACAGTTAGAACCAGGGATGCTATTCACTTACCTTCCCTACCAGTTCGCAAATGTGAACCACATGTGCTGGCACTCGCTTTGCTCGCACAAGGCACCTCTGCGCATGCGCACAGCCTTCTGTGCATGCGCTTTTGGCGGGAAAAAATGGCCTAAATGGGATGCCATAAAGCTAGGGTGGGTGGGCGTGGCCACGATTTCTGCCACCGGTTCTGGCGAACAGATCCAAACCAGTAGAATACCAGCTCTGGTTAGCCCCTATTTGGAGTTAGATAAGGATCAACGGAATTCAAGGGAGGTTGGACCTAGCTCCTTTGTGGCTACATAGGGATTCCAGGCTAATTCCTTTTTTGACTCCACCCCTCTCCCCCAGGTTCTGCCACTCCTCCCCGCTACTCTAGGCTCGCTGGCAAGAGCTGGCTGCTGCACCTAATCGCGACTGGATTGTGACTGAATCCATTGCTATTTACCTGGCAAGTTGCACTGTTTTTGTTGCCGCGTGCACTGCGGGGAGGGGTGCAAAGGCGAAGGCGGCGTGGCGCTGGGTGGCAGGGGAGGAGCTGGTGAAGAAGGGGTGGAGGATGTCGTCGAGGAGGGATTGCTGCTGGAATCAGGCTGGTAGGGCACTGGAATGTGATCCTACGAGAGAAGGAAGAACAGTCGAATGAGCACTTAACAAGCAGGTTTGAAGGTCTCCAGGTTGGGCTTCCCCAGAAGATATAAGGCTAGTCCTCGACTTGTGATTTCGGTTGGGATCAGAAATTGCATTGCTAATTTAAAAATAATTGCAGTATCGATTGAGGATTGCTATTATAAAGAACAGGAAGTTCCTGTTCGTATTGTATTGTATAAATGTGGTGTACGTCTAATTTTTGTGTGTGTATATTTTTCATGTTTGTTAATAAAAATCTTTTTAAAAAAAACATTGCATTGCTAATAATAATAATACGACCTCGTAGACAACCCCCATTCTGTGAAGGACCTAGGACTACTCATCTCAAATGATCTAAGCCCCAGATCTCACTGAAACAGTCTTGCCAAAAAGACGTTAAGAGTTGTTAACCTAATTCTGCGAAGCTTCTTCTTATGTAACATTGTATTGCTAACTAGGGCATACAAAACCTTTGCCAGACCAATTCTCGAATACATCTCATCTGCCTGGAATCCACATTGTATATCGGACATTAATACAATCAAGCTGGTCCAGAGGTACTTCACGAGAAGAGTCCTCCACTCCTCTGCTCACAAGAGAATCCCTTATGCCACCAGGCTTGAAATTTTGACCTTGGACAACTTGGAACTACGCTGCCTACGGTCTAACCTAAGCTTAGTACAACGTCCTACCTGTCAACAACTACTTCAGCTTCAATCACAATAATACACAGGAAAAGAATAGATACAGACTCAAGGTAAACCACTCCAAACTCGATTGCAGAAAATACGATTTCTGCAACAGAGTGGTCAACGCCTGGAATGCTCTACCTGACTCCATTGTTACATCTTAAAATCCCCACAGCATCAACCTCAAACTCTCTACCGTGGACCTCACCCCATTCCTAAGAAGTCCGTAAACGGGGTGGGGATAAGCGCACCAGCATGCCTACCGTCCCTGTCCTACTGTCCCCATTTATTCGTACTCATTTCCTTTGTTCATGCCCATGTTTAAACTTACACCTGTTATCTTGTACATGTTTGACAAACTAAATAAATAAATAAAAAGGAATGGGGTTGTCCTCTACCAAGAGGCTAAAAGGGTGGGAGCAGTTCTCACTTCTGGTCGTAGGATGTTCCACAGTGCTGGGGCAGAGGTGGGTTCCTACCCGTTCGCACCTATTTGGTAGAACCAGTTCATCAAATCTACTGAACCGGTTAGAAGAG